ACAGGCCAATTTCACTTATTTGATTTAACGTAGATCTCAGTTACTATATAATAAGCACACGAAAGGATGCTTTTAAACACATTTTCAGACGGAACAAATTTGGATTTATAAAGACATTGAAAATCAGTAAGGAGATGCATATTACTTGAGAAACCACTTTTTGCCGAGTGCCATTTTTGCATGCGGCCAGAAGGAAGTGAATTCAGAAGCCGGCATCTTATGATTGTGCATTACGAGAATCAAATCCACTTAATCAGTCGTTCCTGATCGAAGGCACCTTTCCGAATTTGAGTTAGCATTTCATAAGATTTGTCACCGACTGTATTTATTGTCTTGTTAATAGTGGTGTTAGGAGAGACTTTGGTCGCTGTGACGAGACCGTTGCCATGTTTAGGGTCGTAAGTTAGCTAAATCATTCATTTGTCACTTGTGCACATACATTTATTTCTATACAAAGGACCGGAAATGGAAACTTTCCGAACTATGTATGAAAATTGATGCTATGTAAATGATCTTCATGTTTCCCTATATGAACTTTCTCGTAACGGCTCCTGATATGTTTGTGTTCAAGGCATGAATTTATTTCTGAACGTTGCCCTTAAGCTACTCGATAGTCCTACCTTATCGGCAAATAACGAATCCTTCAGGTGGTTCCAAATAAAAAGGTTATGTGTTAACAATTCAACAGAAATGGGGGCCAAATTAAATCTAAGTTCTGCAAAATCACAAGATTTTCAAAAGTCTGCCTTAGAAACTGTAATGTGGCTTTGTCCGTATGGGCAGTTGTCCCATCCTGCCGTCACCGGTCCTCTCCTTCACTAAGGGACACAACATCTTCCAGCATTGTTTCATACCGATCGCGATCGTTGCAACTATAGTGATGTATTCGCCGGGAATGGGTTAAGTCAAATCACACTGTCGAGTGTTGTACCACACCAAACCGTAACCTTGAGGGTGGTCAGTTCAGACTGATGGATGGCCCTTGGATTTTCCTGCTCAGAAACGCGGTATTATGCTTGTCCACCGATCCGTTCAAAAAGAAAATAGGCCTTATCTCCCAAGACGAGGAAATAGTGAGTTTGTGCTCTCCATGGAAGGATAACGAGGGTTTTATGCTTTGACCGCCATGAATTTTTCCCCTATAAATTTGCAACAACACATCTCAAAATAGGATAGAGAAACCACAAAATTAATGGCCAAAGAACTTTTAAATTTTGAAATGGTAACGCGAACTATCGGCCATCCCATAGCCTGTGTGGTATGTCGTGTGGTGGTTCACTGCTTGTAGTTACAGTTTAACGGACCTGGTAAACATGAATAGCAATTCGGTGAAGAGGTAACCAGCAACGCCGATGTCCCTAAAGAAGCCAAAACAAACGTAACTTGTCGCTATCGTTAATTTATTCTTAAGTATGACATGTGATAGCGGTTAGTTTTAGCAAAGTAACTGCGGTAACATTGGAGTGGATAAAGTGATATGGACGACAAGGACGGGAACATGTTGCGCGAATTTATTAGTAAAAACATTTTAGTTATTAATGAGTAATCTCCAGCATTCTGGTGGGTGCCGTTTAAAACATGCTCTCCTATTTGCAGCATCTCATTTCTGTCGATATTACAATCAACCCATTGGATGTGCCTGCACGTGTATGCTCAGAGTACCCTTTTGCTGTCTGAAGACGTTCCGTGGTATAGGACATTTTAACCGCGCATGAAACCTGGCTAGTAAAATGCGTCAAACGTTTAATTCTTTAAAACATTAAGCTACTTTGGAAGCCGACCGCTGTCACTGCATCACCCATCGTTCCTGTTCAAAGTCCCGCGATGTCAACGTTAATTGCATGATTGCTGGCTGTACCTAGCGGCCACACCCCGATAACCGCCTCGACCGGCGGGCTAAACCAGGTGAGGGCATCCGTATGTGCATCTCTATACACAGTAATTCGGCTCAACTCCCACCATCGATGGCCGAACGGACCACTTCCTTGGCATCTCCGAGATGAGGCTTCGTCTGCACCCCCTTCAGGAGGCCACAAAGTAAGTGACCCCTCAGTTGAGCTAAATTTTACTTTCTGCTTGTTCTTGCTTGTTTGTCTTTGTCTGATTGTTTGTGTTTGTCCTTGTTGTAAGCTAAATGCCGTTTTGTTTAAATTGTCTACTCATCATTCATATTTCAGCAACCAGGTAACTTAGGGAGGGACGGGAAACTCTGCTTCCCATCTCTCTACCCTCTCTCCATCCCCCCTCCACCCAATAATAAATAGTTCTACCGGGAGAGCAGCAGTGATCACGTAGGCGGCACCGGCTAACTGGGGTCGTTCTCCCAGTAAACAAGGTAGTGGCCCATAGTGGAGTCTGGCAGCCGTCTAGGATGGCTGAGCAACCCTATTTAGGAAGAGCACTGCTTACCTTCTCGAGAGACGGGGCCAGAAAAGGTGCCTTAAGCAAACGATTGGATCAGCTTTTCTGAGCGCCGACCGGGGCTCGCAGACGCAAAATACACGATCGAAATAATCAAACAAGAAATAATACCCTCTCTCTCCCTCCTTTTCCTCCCCGTCACACAACCCCACAGGCCTCAGACCCAAAACTCACAGTCGAAACAACCAAATCAGAAAAAAAACCCTCTCTCTTATTCCCCATCTCCCTCCCCACTACAACACGCTCCAGACTCGTAGGGTAGGTCCGCCCAACCTGGCAGTCTGGATTATTCGTTCCCTTTTAGCCAATTCCAGGAGCAACCGACCGGAACGGAGGACGGCGTTAGTGGCTTGGGAACTGGTGCGCTACAAGGTGGACATAGCCTCATTCAGCGAGACCGGATTCTCAGAATAAGGTCAACTGGAGGTGGGTGCCGATTACACCTTCTTCTAGGGCGGTCGCCCCAAGGCAGATCAACGGGACGCGGGCGACGCCTTTGCCATCCGGAACGACATTGTGGGACGACTGCCCTGCCTGCCGCAGGTAATGATTGCCTACCAGCCTCCGCCTGCCTCTCCGGGGTGAGGCAAATTCGCCACCATCGTCAGCGTCTACGCTTCCCCGATGAACAGCGCTGACGCTGCAAGGAACAAATTCCACAAGAACCTGCACGCCCTTCTGACGACTGTGCCGAAGGCGGATAAGTTGATTCGCCTTGGTGACTTCAACGCCCGCGTCGGCACAGACAATGCTGCCCGGAGAGGAGTGCTGCGTCCCCATGGTCTCGACGACTCCAATGACAATGACCTGCTCCTCCTACGAACCTGCTTTGAACACCGGCTCATTCTGACCAACACCTTCCGCCTTCCGACGCGAGAGAAGGCCACCTGGATGCACCCTCGGTCGCAAAATTGACACCTGCTAAACTATGTCCTCATCCGGAGGCGGGACCAGCGGGACGTGCTGGTGACAAAGGTGATTCCGGGTGTTGACAGGCGGACCGACCATCGTTTCCTCATCTCCAAGATGAGGATTCGCTTACAGCCTCGCATAGGACCCCAAGGTAAGCGACCATCAGGTAAGTTGAATATGATCTTCTTATGTTTGCTCGCTAACCATCTCCATCTCAGCAACGAGCTAGCTCAACGGCTAGCCAAACTTCCAGTCGCCGCCGCCGCCACCGTTGACGCCGACGAGAACGCCTCCAGGGAGAACCAATGGTGTCAGCTGTGGGACACAGTCCGGTCAACGGCCCTGGCTGTCCTCGGTCGCGCACGTCACCAACATCAGGACTAGTTTGAGGACAACGGCGCCGCCATAAGCAACCTGTTCGCCAAAAAAGAACCGCCTACACTAAGCCTATGTCAACCGCTCCGCTGATGACAACAAAGCAGCCTTCTATCTTAGTTGCCGCCTTTTTCAACAGCGTTTGTGAGCGAGGCAGGAGGACTGGACGGCTCTCAAGACCGAGGAGATCCAAGGGTATAAAGACCGGATCGAATGGAGGAACCTCTTCGACGCGTTTAAGGCTCTCTACGGCCCCACAGCCAAAGGTGCTGATCCTATTCTCAGCTCCGACGGAAGTACCCTACTCACTGAGAAGACAAATTCTGCAGCGATGGGCAGGACACTTCAGAGGCGTTCTCAATCGTCCCTCCACTATCTCCGACTTTGACATCGTCCGTCTGCATCAAGTGGAGACCAAAGCCTATCTCGACCCCGAGCCCTCTCTGTATGAAACCATCTGGGCCGTGCAGCAACTCCTCAGCAGGAAAGCGCCCGGATCGGATGCAATCCCTGCTGATATCTACGAGCACGGTTGCCCCAAGTCATGGATCATCTGACGGCGCTCATGCAGGAGGTGTGGTGTCAAGTAGAAGTCCCGCAGAATTTCAAGGACACTGCAATCGTCCATCTCTATACACGGAATGGGAACCGCCAAATCTGCGACAACCGCCGAGGAATCTCCCTAGTGAACATCGCTAGGAGGACCTTCCCTTGAATCCTTTTCAACAGCCATCTGGAACAGGGTCTCCAGCCGGAAACCCAGTGAGGCTTCCGTCGTTATTGTGGGACCACGGACATGAGCTCCGCCGCCCGTCAACTGCATGAGAAGTGTTAGGAGATGCGCACCTACCTCTACTCTACCTTTGTGGATCTGACGAGAGCCTTCGATACGGTGAATCGTGAAGAACTGTGATAAATCATGCAGAAATTCGACTGCCCCGAGCCATTCCCTCGGATGGTGCGTTAGCTCCACGATGACATGACGGCAGGCGTCACCGACAGTGGAGCTGCCTCAGAGGCATTCGCAGTGACCAACAGAGTGAAGCAGGGCTGCGTTCTGACGCCTGCCTTCTTCAATTTCATTTTCGCCGTCATGCTGATGGATGCCTGCCAAAGCGGACCCGCTGGGATCTGCGGCGCCTACAGGACGGACGGCCAAGTCTTCAATCAGCAACGGATGCACATCCAGTCACGTGTATTCACAACTACCGTCCGTGAACTTCTCTTTTCCGACGGCTGCGCCCTCAAAACCACCTCCGAAGGGACGTACAAAGGAGCATGGACCTCTTCGCCGCCGCCTTCGAGGACTTTGGTCTGATCATCAACACGGAGAAGACGGTGGTCATGCACCAACCGCCACCCGACACTGCCTATGTCGCACGTCAAATCAACGTGAACGGTGCCAAACTGCAAGCCGTGAACAACCTCAACCATCCTGGCAACACCATCTCTCGCAGAACCAAAATCGACCATGGAATGGTCCACCGGATTTTCGAGGCCAACCAAGCCTTCGGCCGTCTGCAAAACAGTTTGAGCTCGACGCAGTCTCCACCTCCGCACCAAACTGGAGATTCACAAGGCGTTCATCCTGCCAACGCTGTTGTATGAAGCGGAAACTTAGACGGTGTACATGAAACGGGTACGTAGACTCAACCACTTCCACCTCAGCTGTCTCCGACGGATATTGAAACTGAGGTGGCAGGGCCGGATCCTAGACATTGACGTACTGGAACGGACGGGAATTTTCAGCACCTTTGCCATGCTGAGGCAACTGCAACTGCTCTGGAGTGGCCATCTGGTGCGCATGGACAACAAGCAGTTACCCAAACGGCACTTCTATGGAGATGTCACCACGGGTTCCCGCTGACAGGGAGGTCAAGCCCGGCGCCACAAGGACAGTCTGAAGACTTCCTTGAAAATCGACCCAGCCAACTTGGAAGACCCTGCCCAGGACTGACTGACCTGGCTGAGACCAGTGAGGATAGGCGCAGCGATCTACGAACCCAACCGCATAACCACCGCCGAAGCCAAGAGCAAAGCTCGCAAATCTCAACTGCCCCCGCTTCGCAAAGCCAACGCTCGGCCGCCCCAACCTGCCCACGATATCAACGGACGTTCCGGGCACCAATCGAACTTATTGAACATCTTCGTACTAACTGCAGCACCCGGATGACACCACCCGATATTCCCCGATTTACCTCTGCCTCGCCCCCCACGCAGACAATCAACACTGACCGCACTCCTGAGCCCCATTGTCATCCTCCGTTACCCCAACATGCACTCCGACGGCTACTGCATCCACCGCCACTACTTTCAATCCGACAATCACCAACACCGACAATCAGCAACCTCACCACCGCCACCACCAGCGATGTAGACTAAGTCCATGCTCATTGCTACCGCAGCTTCACCTAACACATCGACCCGGTCGGTCACTTGCAAATCCAACGCACAGAGACTGGTGAACTATTGCTTGGACTACCAACGTACACCCGCCGCATCCGCCTGAACTACCCTCACCGCACCCGCACACTCACTCACTTCATGGGTCTTATAAGTCGCGTGCGCATTCGCGAGACCCTCTGGTAGACAACCGTCGGCTAAACCACGCCATCACATCTTCGTCTACCTGTAACGCACAACCTCATCACCAACCACAAGCATCCAACTGCCACCCCCACGCAAGTGGGAAGTGTACGTCTCAGCTCCGTCTTCAGGCAACTCTCCTGCTGCATGTGTAATCCGAACCTGAGACCACCGCGGTGCGCCAAGCGCCGTGGCTTGGAAGGCTGTTGACAGGCGCCCCAACTCAGTCCACGCAGTCTGTGCAGTTGCGTGTACTTGTGTGGAACGGTGGACTGGTGAGCTGAGAGCCAGGCTGTAACGCTTCCTTCTTAACATGGCCTCTGGCACTCTCAAGCATGTAGAATGTACGACGCTCATCCTCCGTTGTGTGAAATCCTGGTGCTTGTGTTTGGGGAGCCAGGTCGTGCATGTGACGAGTAGACAAGGTCATTAGAGATGTCAGACACCGTGCCCATTCCGCACATCCGTAAACTGGCAGGCTCAGACAGTGGCTGGGGCCTGGGAATGGGAAGGCAGAGCGAGGTCGACGACTCAATGCACTTTCCTCACCAGAAACAATCTGACGCGCATGAAGCTTTCATGGTGGGGTAAAGGCCGTGGATTGGAATGCACCAAAAGTCTCCTTACTAATGTCACTTTTGTGACACTCTCACTCCGTGGGATCCGAGTCAGGTGTGGCGGCACGCCTAGGTGCGGCTCCTGCCATTTCAGCCCATTTTTGGTCAAAATTCCGGTCATTTTCTGTGTGAACCAGGGAGTGTGGAGTGGAGTGCCAAGATTCTGGCTTGGCCATGCCATTCACTTGCGTCATCCCCCGTCTCCGGTCTTCTTGACTCTGTCTTGACGTCTGGCCCAGATGGGGGAGGGGGGAGAGTGTGCGGTATATGTAACGCAAGTCTTCTATCACTGTATACTAATTCACGCACAAGTTACTGTGCCTGCTCTAGCCCTGCTGTGGAGCACGCGGTGAATATCGTGGGCAACTATGGTCCAACTATTAGCTGCTTTCACAGCAGAAGTTTTTAGACGCAGCGATCTTACAATCTAACTGACTGCTCCACAAACATGAAGGCACGTACGGCGGCCGCTTCCATTGGGACACAAAACTCCCCTAAATGCCTCTATACACTCATAAAGAGACCCGACATCATACTCTCTCGCTCTCTAAGGCATTAATTACTGACCTAAGCCGTGCGGCGACCACTGAGGCCTGAAACAGCATCCCAGGATTCTTTCCATAATACATTCCACATGCTGGTGTCTCGCTTCCTCTGTTAATCGGAACTTGCCTGAATGATTGTGGAGCTGAAGGAACCACAACAATTTTGCATTTAAAACCCTTGTCTTTTTTCTCAAATCAAATGCACTTCAGTTGAACCACTTGCGAAAAACTCAGCGGTCTCGGTGGCATTCGAAACCGTAACGGCAAGTGCAAACTTGCACTATGAGATCTCGACCGGGATCCGTGATTTTGTTCACATCTGATCTGAGTTACTCGCCCAACCTACTGCAAAGTAAAGGATGCACCTAATCTGCAGTGTAAGCTGGCTGTCCAAGTAGGATTTCCTAAGCATTCAATATAAAATAACCAATATAACTACCAGGCTCCGTGGGGCCGCAAACTTAACCGCTCAATTGGCAAATTTCACACCCTTTCATACCACCCAGCCGGGCGTACCGATGACCGGCATTTGCGGTCTGACAAACACTGAGAAATGCACAAACTGCGTGACATTTGCTGAGTTCATTTTACTAAAATATTAGCAGGATCTCTTTCGAGGTTAAGGTCTTCTCTGTGTTTTGTGAGCCACTTGGTTGCAGCTTCGACTGACAGGAGCTAGACGTTTTACATAGTGACTTAATGGTGGGGAAATTATCAAGGGTTCGTTTCTCTGAAAAAGGTTTTTTATTTAGGTCATTTCTTTGTTTGATGCCGGAAATCTTATCAATATCAAGTCGGTAGTGGGATGCTTGGCCATAAGCAAGAATTTGCGTCTGTTAACTAAAAGCGCGTCAGTATTTCTTAACAATTGAGAGCATGATTCGAAATAGATTATTTTAACTCATTTGACTCACTTGTGGAAAACTCGGCGACCTCAATAAGATTCGAACCTCAAACACCAAGGGCAAGGATTATGTGCGTCCAACTCTCCAATCACTGAGCCACAAGGCCCGGCCGGGGGCCGAGTTAAGTTGCCTGCCGGCCTACTGCAACTTATTGAATCCACCAATTCTGATACAATGAACCGACTGCCCAAACAGGATCCTCAAGGCAGTCCATTTAGAACCCACTAGATGACTGCGAAACTCATCTATTTAAGTGGTTTTTAGCAGATTAAAATGATTCATTTGACCCATTTGCGAAAAACCCAACGGTGTCGGTGGTATTCGAAGTCACAACAACAAGAGCCAAACTCACGGCTCTCGGTCGAGACCCATAGCTCAGGAAATTAAAGCGTTGTCTCCACCAAAGCCTTGCCGTGTTGTTGTGAGCTCGAATACCACCGACGCGGCCGTTTTTCGAAACCGGATCGAAAGAGTTATTAAAGTCTGCCAAAAAAACACTACTTTTGGACTATTTTAATGCTTTTGTCGCATGTTTGTTGCCAAAACGAGACCTGAAGACCCTTAAAACTAGTGAAGTCATGCGTTATACTTGCTTTTCAAAGTCCATTTGAAAAGAAATATCTGGGCTTCGAACTATCAAATATTTTCAGGAAATTAAAGGATCTTTTAGCAAGGAAATTGGTAAGTAAGGAATGTTCAAAAAATTCGAGTGTTCGTCCTCGATCATGATAGCCATTCTGTTTAGTTTGGTAAAAGTAGTCGTCATCTTTATCGTCCTCGGCATCTTTTCTCTTATACTCTATATTTTGCAGTCTGGTAATTAAAACCAAAGTGTCAGGTGGATTCCTATCAGCAGTGTCAATGCACATGTGCAAACTTGCGGGCAACAGCTCCGCGAAAATGATTTCCAGATAAAGTGTGTTAGTTGGGAAATTAATAACTGCTCTGCATTTCCCGCCGTATAAGCACTCGACGTTATCGTTTTCATCTACCATAAATCTGCATTTTGGCGCCTGTTTGTCGACATTCTTGTTATAATGCAGTGGGAAACGGCTGCAATACGCCCACCGGATGCTAAGCAGCACCTTTTTCCGGTATCCCATTCCCATAAAATAAACAAAAATCACTACGTTTGACCTTCCGCGCTGTTTTAAGCGTCTGAAGAGGGAATTTCAAATCTAGGGAGGGGCAGATGACTGAATCATTTTCGAATGTTCTAACAAAGGCCAAACTTATTTTAACTCATCTAGGTCATACCTAGTATTTATAGCATTGTAGCCCGAATTGTCTGCTTAGAGGGATTTAAAATTAGGTAAAAAACCACTCCGGAATGTCGCCAATTTTTTTCAAATTCGCCTTGTAAAATAAAAATAGTTGAAAGAATAACTTTTGGCCCTCTGAATTTTGGTGTCGTCACACTGAGCGGCAATGTTCCCTGACTACACGATGCTCAAATCTTCTGCCACGTGGCATTTGTGGACAAAGAAGGTAAAAAATGCATCGTTTCCTTACTTACCAGGTACTGCTAATTCCACGCATAGAACAGGACTGCAAAAAATCCAGAAAATTCAGGAACTTTCCACTTTACCACCGGTAAGTATGAGGGGCAAGATAGTCATCAACACCTTTGTGAATTATAAAAATACATGCCTGATAATACTCGAAGAAAAGTTAGCGGATCTTTTGAACTACTTGGTACACAAATCCTCATTTGATAAGAAAGAACTACCAGCATTTCGAATCCCAAAATTGAGCCAGTATTCTTCCTTACTAGATGAAGCAATCAGGTTTTCGTTGGTGTTTGGATTATCATATCCTTGCGAATTACAATTTTCGGTTCTGAGAGACGGATGATGGCAGACAGTAGATGAGAAAATTTGCGTCTGCTTACTACTGTTCAGTCGCGTCTTCTGCTTAATGACTCCTAAAAACGAGTTGTACGCATATCAAGTTAATTAAAAACCTATTTACCTCAACCTAGTTCTTATTTGCATTCCCTAACTTAAGACGGTGCAAGTAAATGATTTTCCAATTTAGTTCTTCGATGTTGGATTGGCAACTTAAAGCAACTAAAGCATCCTGTCATGCATCAGGAATATTTTCGGGACAACTGGAAGCATTGCCACATGATAGGAATATCATGCCGACCAAAAGGTAGCAAGACTCAGGAAATCATTTTGATTTTGTTTGCAAGATTATATACTCCAAATGCCCCATAATTATACATGTCGGGTGACAAGCGACCTCTACCCGAATATGTACGCAGAAGCCGTTCATGCGTAGGTCTGACCCAACGTCCTAAACAATGATCGCATTCCGGACGCAGGCCACGTGCCCTGATGCAAAAAGAAGTGGTGAAACCTGCCAGCACGTCGGGCTGAACGCTGCCTCCTGATTGTGCTTTGGAGGACAATCGGCAAACTCATAATTGCAGTCTGTCTCCCGCTCCCTACACGTTGCAGCCTTACCGCCTTATGATACGACCCAGATCTCATCCGAGGACATGCCTGGTCGATCAATATTTTGGCACGATAGACATCGGTGCTAATGGAAGCGCAGTCCCCAGATTGAAAGCAAAAAATTAAAAGGAGGAGTAAATAAATAAATAATACACTTGCAGTGGGAAGTGCGTCCACTGATCTGGTTTCCACGATAATGAATATTCCCGACCGCAACTGACAGGACATCAAGACCGTATCTCAGCGGTAGAGCGTTAAACTTAAAAGTGTTCTGTGGCCAGATGTATGGCTTCGAATCCCAGGTTATCGAAATCTTGGTTTGGGCATGGCTGGCTGACGCGGACAATGAGCCAGAAAAGGCCACGTCAGTCTCCCCTGCCTTTGTTGTTACTCCATGCTGCAGTTCATCTTTTTATTTTTCTTCTACTACTACTACTACTGCGTCAACAATTGTTTTGCTGTTGTACTCTTCACTGACCCCAACGACGACGACGACGACGACGATAATAATAATAATAATAATAATAATAATGATGATGATGATGATGGTGGTGGTGGTGGTGGTGGTGGTGATGATGATGATGATGATGATGATGATGATGATGATGATGATGATGATGATGATGATGATGATGATGATGATGATGATGATGATGATGATGATGATGATGATGATGATGATGATGATGATGATATGCACGTAGGAGTCAGAATACGTGGACAGGAAATGGCTGGTTCAGATGTTCGGCGCGTCTCTGTATTCGTTTCAATCCAAACCTTGACTTATGTCCATTTTTATGCTGTGCCTGAGCGCTTTTAGACAGTGCTTTGTGGTACTTCAGGTGCTCTATTCTAGTGACCGAATTTTACACTTAACTATAGATTGGGGCATCTCAAAGGATGTCTACTCCCATCCTAAGACACTGATCAAAGACGTCGGTGCTTTTCAGTCTTTAGGATGACTGACTGTGTCTTTGGCAATATGGGCCAGCTGGTGCTTCATACACATATATAGAATGTCCTATGGCGGGGCACTGTCGAACTTCGGTTCCGCGAGGTGCTTATGACCCGTCTGGTAAACCCCGGTGGTTGACCAGCTGCGTCAGTTGTGTGTGTGTGCGTGTTTGTTTCCGGTCCCGGCTGCTGGTCAGGATAATGACTGGCTGAATGAAGGCAAACAAGCCCGAAATGGTTCTGTATTAATCTACCCCGGACGCTGTCGTCTGCTCTCTGACATCATAGCTTGGTCGACTTCGGTCTGGCGGATGGTTGCTTATTCGTGACCCCTTTATATGATGCAACTCCGTAATCAGTACTAGTGGTCACAGCAATGAAACAGCGCCGTTTCTCTTTTTTAATAATATGAATGCTTGCAGCATGCCATTCATTTTATCCCTCTCCCTGACACACAGTCCTGTTTCGGGCACTGTATTCATTCATGGAGACGACATGACAGGATTGGTGCTTACGCAGTCTTATTCTCTGGACACATTAGCATAGTTCACCTCAACGTCTTCATTTTCCTATGCAACGCAGTGAAATTTTATCTGACCTTTTGTTCTAAACCATTCGAATCAGACACCTTAAGAGGCAAAGATTTGGCTGAATGAGACTTATAAAATGCAATTTTATTCCTTAAGTTTATCCTGACATCACGTAGCAGCCGCTCCAGTCCCCCGTTTTCTCCGGCTCCGTTTTGCCGAACGATGGCCGCGACAGCTGTTAACACACGGCCAACCCCGCCGGCTAGAACTGGGACACCTCCATTCCAACTTCAGTAACTCTCGGCTGACCCCGCAAACTTTCATCACCTCACGCGCGTTCAACGCTCCGGCTTGATACACGTGAGGCCTTGTGAGTATGCGCCCCCCTATTCCTCCCCTAATTTGTTCAATCACAAAACCAACAGTCAGCCAGTCACCCCCTGCTGCTGACACCGACATGCACTGCCGCGAAAACACACCGCGACTGACACTCACCGTGAAGGGACGCTTAACTCTGTCGCAAGCAAACAGCCAACTTACGGCAACCTGCCCTGTGTACAGAATTAGCTAGCCCTCACAGCTCCCTGACTTCTGACATTAGACGAAACGAACTTATTGTGCGTGGTTTAAGTTGATCTCACATCCTTGACCGCCACATAACAAGTAGTTGGCTGATCATTAGTCCTTCATGTGGTGCATGAAGCAAGGACGAACTGACTTGGTTTGCGTCATGGGCGACTTTGTCGTAATCTTCTAGTATGCTGGTTGCTAGGGGCAATGGAGCAGTAGCGCCGAAGATAAATTACTGACCGAACAATAACTACCTAACGTGCCTAAGGAGGGGATTGGTCAAGTATCGGAGTCACACTCATCTATCCGGAGATTGCTCAACAGCCTCATTCACCATGAGCAGTTGCGTCATGTAAAATCATAAACCGATTAAAGCTTGTCCAACTATCTGGTGCAGCGTATCGTACCACAGTTCAAAAATATATTTGCACATGGTCAGACCAGACTGCACGAAAGGTGGGATTATGCATAAATGAACAAAGCTGGCTGTTTTAAATTTGCGAAAATTCCCATGACAGTATTCAGGAGACTAATTGGCAAGCATACGTCTGCTTTCGATGAATTCTCGTCAGACCAGTACATTTATTTAGGACTAGAGAAATCGATGAAAGTCCGTCCCACAACCCGCCTGTGTTTTAAGACGAACTTAAATTGATTTCTCTAATCGGGGACATATTTTACTTGACCCTATTCATATATAAGTGTACTGGCCTGATGAGAATTTACCAAAAGCAAACGTATGCTCGCCAACGTATCTTCTGAAAAACTGGCTGATCGACGGACAGACTTGTTATCCTGGGACGCATTCGCACTCTTAAGCCGAATCACGCCTACAG